AGCTATATATACTTTATATTAAAATAGATTTCTACGAATTAAAGCCATATTTCGAAACTAAATACTATACCGATTGATTCGCCTATTCATGTAAACACAAATATATCGATTGCTGCAGGGACAAGACATTATAAAACAGCAAAATTTAACATAAATTATAATTTTTGCATGCGATTCTATTGGAATACACTACGTCGTCAAATTAATTTTATTTAAGCAAGTATGAACGTGTCCAAATTGAATTATTCTTCGACTAATCAATAATTAGGACGTTCACCTCATACATAGATGAGAAATAATAACCAATATCACTTTCAAATTTGCGGGCCCCTCCCGAAACTGAATCCTGGCTACGGGTCAGTGTACAGCCATTAAATCAGATCAGTTTTGAAATTCCTCAACATTTTTCCTTCCAAAACATTGTGGGTTTTTGACAATAAGTTTAAATGGGATATAAATTTTCAAATCAACTTGACTTAATAATTAAAACATTCCAAAATATGATTCAAGATTTATTAAGTGTTAATTTAGAAAGCACAATTTGTTCCATTATTCGTGACCAGAGCGAAATACGAAAAATAAAGACAATGAAGTTTTCTCTGTGATCAAACATTGTTAATGCTAATCTTAATTTATTTATAACATTCGTTTTGCAAAAGAATTTCCCACAAACTGATTTAGTTTGCTTGTGACGTTTCTATTGAATTTGAAGGCAAGCCCGATTCCCATTGACTTCCGTGCCAAAAATGCACGCATCGAATAAAATACATGAATATGTACTTAGGGTGTATATTAGGGTGGGTAAAAAAAAATATTAATATTGTCGTTGTTAATATTTTTATATTAATATAATATTTTTTTTGGCTAGGTATTCTGAAAACTGAAAAATTGTTTGATAGACACCTCTAAAAAAATGCTCCGCAAATATTATCAAAATGATCTACATAATATTTTGATTAAGTTAAGCGTTTACGAGTTGTTCATTGTCAAAAATCAACGAAAAACAAAAAATAATAAACATTTATTTTAGAAATAAAAATTAAGTGGCCATATTTGTAGAGTAGAAAATTCCTACAAGACTATGAACTTTGCAATTTAAACTATTTTTTGTCATTGAGGTATAAAATTAAAAAAAAAAAAGAGTTTTAAAAAGTCAAACAACCTGTTAATATCTTTGAAGCGGTTAATTTTATGAAAAAATTATAGATCATTCAATTATCAATGAAACGAAATATTATTTCAAGCGATTAGAAGCGAGATACAATTTTACTATTTTCTTATAAGATAATAGAAAACGGTTATTCGGAGCATCTTCGCATTACAATCAAGCGCTCATACTTTTAGAGCCTTTCTTAGAGATGTCTATCAATCAATTTTTCAGAGTACCAAGCGAAAATAGCATTCGTTTTTTTCTACCCGCCCTAATACAGATATATGTACATATATCAACACAATGAGTACTTTGTGCACTCTTTTACATTCTACGCTAGTAGCAATGTTCTCATTTTTAATTATACTCTTTACACAATTTACATCGTCGATAGAATCGTGTTTTCCCAACCTAGAAAAACGGAAAATATCCAAATCCAACACGTACTGCACCTGAATTTTCAATTGTAATACAATTACATATGTATTTACAGGTACATACGTGTGATTTCAAACATTTTATATACACATACATACATACAACGTGTTTATTTTACCATCTTAGGTGTTCCAAAACGCTCTGGCATGAAAATCAACCCAGACTTGGGTGGGTATCRTCCTAACGCTAGCAATACAATACTATTTTGAAGCGTAATTTGAATGAATAATAGTATGTATATATTTATATATGCCTTTGAGTATGTATAACAATTGCGCATGGTCACATGAATACCAAAAAACGAAAGCGCTGGTTGGGTGGCTCGTTGGCTGACTTCAATAGGCTAAAACTCACATAGTAATTGGCAGGCAGACTTACTTTATWTATATGTATGCGTTTGTAGTTGGATTTTTGTTTTATGTATTTGTTTGAATGAATTGCATGTAATCCAACGTTCGACGGAATCTCTGTAATTAAAAGAGAATTTCAAATTTTGTTCACACATTTTACTAACATACAGTAATGCAAAATAGTTGAGAAGAGGAAAGAAATTGCTGCGAAATTCAACTCTAACAACACTAGATATGGATAAAGGTCGTAGAAAATAAAAAAGTTGTTTTTGCAATATAAGACAAAAYCCCTCTGGTGTTAAATAAAGAATTAGTTGAGAATATTTTGCTAAACTATTAATTTTTCGAGTAAAAAACTTTTTATTTTAAACGCTTATATAAAGCAACGAGTAAAGGTCGTAGTGAATAAGAAAAAKTCTTCGCTGTAAATCATACTCAGGTCTCAAATAAACAATCGAGGGTATTACTAATCAAGTATGATTTTTGCAAGTAGAATATTTAATTTTTAAAGGCTTATGTTTTCCATTTTTATATTTTTCTAAATATTCGAAAAACATATTTTTCTAAATTATGTGCGAGTATTACATTTTCCAAAAATATATTTTTCTTCATTGTTCTTTTGAATAAAAAACAAAAGACCTATTTATACTACGTATTTGCTGCATATATTTTTCTCGCTGCATACATATATGTATATGTATTTTTGCACTTACTACGCTTCACTCTGTTGTAAATATTGTTTGCTTTGCTTGATTTCCTTTACTTTTACTATAATTTAGTAGATTTTGAATTTGGAATTTTATCATATAGTAAACTATGCAATCATACGTAAGCATATGTATAAATACATATGTATATGTGTACGGAAAGCAAAAATAAATTAGTTCATGCCTTTGTTCAGTGCCCGTGCCTTTATTGCCAAAAGTCGAAAATATTTACTATATACACACACATACAAAAATAACTGCATGCATTTACTATAGCGTGTGTACGCCAGGGCGTATGTGGAACAAACCATTCTCCTAATAAACCTTTTTATTCGTCGATTGGTTCATTTGTCGTCATTGTAAAGTTCGCAGATTTCTCTAGGCTTGCCATCATTTTTCTCTGTGATTCTATTTGAGTTACAAACATACAGAAATTGAATTTGGTGTTTCAGTGCTTTTTGCCTTTGTATTTCTATTTTTGCAGCATCACTGMAAATAATGAAAATAGTAGTGGAAGTGGCGTTGAAATAGAATTGTCACTAATTGGCGCCCTATAAATGTTGCACAGCTCTGTTGTAACGAAAATTTTTGCTGACCATGTGTGGGAGTTCTGACTATGCATACACATATGTATGTGTGTATTCTTGTTTTTCTTTCGTTAAAACCTCAATTAAATGCATTGTGATTACTTTTATTTTACGGTCGCTTTATGCTTTAACTTCAATGGCTATTTGCGGTTAAAAATCTCTTTATTTGCGTTAATTAAAGGCTTYTCTGCTCGTTTTTTGAATTTGTTACGAGTACAGTTCGATACATAGGTGATATTTTTGTCGACGAGAAAGTATTTGTTTTGTTTAAGTTCTTAAATTCTTGGAATTCTTGAATTGGTGCAGATTTTCTTCAAATTCCTTGATAACTCACAACCTTATGTGGTTATAGTTGAATAAAAGCAAAAGTTGCAGTTGCAAAAATTAGTAAAACGTTAAAATTGTTTCCAAAATATAATATTTTATCCTTCTCAGGGTTGTTATCGGAGTATCTGTACTTAGCCATACAACTTAAGCTGAATAAAAACCTTCAAACGAACGGAAATCGGTAGAGGCCTTTGGTATTTTGAAGTCTTAGTTTACTGTCTACTAACAGAAGTTGCAATCAAAATTTTTCTTGGATCCGTTGAAGAAGTGTCAGACTTATTAAACTATCCTCGTGTTATATTTTTTGTTCGCATATTCTTAGCACAATTTGTACAAAATGTCGCCGTAACAAACCGAAGGCATGTGCCGACAAAAACATAAATTTATAAATGAAATTCCAAATCGAAGTGTGTACATTGAAGTTGAAAAGATTAATATACGTAAGAGATACCTACGTAAAAGAAAATGAAAAAAACAGAAGTACTAAAAATAATAAACACTAATGCCCAGAGCATAACATTTCGCATTTAACGGTCCATTTGTTTTTTTTTCTTTTTTTTGGCAATTTTCCGTCGTCAGAATTGTAGCAGTCCATTTGGTTTGCGGTTTCCGCCTACAATCGGCTGTTGACCTTAATTTAGTGAATTGCTGTTAATACTCTTTTTTTTGCAATTGTTTTAGAGTTTGCTTCTTATGTCTTATATTGTGCCGCTAATCAAGAATGAAAATGTGACAGAAATAAAAATGTAATTGACAGCAACAATATTATTCTCATACACATATGAAGTGAAGCGAAATTATGGCTTTTCATTAATGTATGACTTAAAATTTAAAATTTTTTGTTGCAAACTTCGCTTAAAAATTATTTTTTGAAAAATTTGTWAAATGAATTAACTTGCTTAACAAGCTGCAAGTCTTACTATGTTAWATATAAATGGTCTGTGTTGCAGTTAATTCGCCGTATTTTCGCTAGCTTTCTTAATTATGCCGCTTAAAACATGGTGACAACAATAAAAATCACTTGTGACGGTGTATTCATACAATCCAATTCGTATCTTACGCCTACGGTGTCTGGCAACGCTGTTGCGCATCATCGTACGCATACAAACAATATTGCGCAACATTTGCCCAAGTCGCCAACATCGCTACCAACAACAACGACTGCAACATCGTTCGCCATTTGCAGCGACGATCAAAGCAACTCGGACACTAGTTCTAACGAGTGTGAACATCGATTGCGGCAGAGTTTCAGGCACACAAACTCACCGAAAGTCGCACTTATATCGGCGACAATTAGCAGYTGCAACAATATAAACAACAGCACTGTATTTAACTCTTACTCCTCCAACACATCCTCATCCTCTTCGCATTCATCCAGCAACTCACACACCTCCAACGCTACGCAACGCCAACGACGTCAACGACGCAGTAACTCCAGTAGTCCACGCGACTCATTCAAATTCATTACGCCTGAAACTGTTAGGACGATACCWCACGACAAAGCGGTAGATTCGCGTCGTCGTTACTATTACAACGGCACAGGCGCCAGCGTCGCTGGCAACAGCMACAGCAACATTTATTGGTGCAAACAGGCCCTCATCGGCAGCAGTGGTAAAGGCAGCGTTGGCAGTTATGAGCATGCAAATAGCGCACAGAAGCGTCGCGCACATACTGCTGAACACGTTACGTTGACCCGGAGCGYCAGTAGTACTACGCCCCATAAAGAGTTTCGAAACGCGCCCCCRTCAACAACAGCAGCGACAGCGGCAGGTGTGGCCAAGGTGGTGGCGGTGCGACGAGAAAGCAATGAACAACCGTCGGACGGCGACAAAAGTGACAACCAAAAAAGCAATAAAAACAGTAACCGTGACACATCACTTGCGGTTGGCGTCTGGCAAAAAGCGCACATAGGCCTTTATTACAGCGCTAACAAACCACCAGTAAAGAATAACAATAATGAAGACACTCATGCAAACGGTGACGATGGTGATGACACTCCAGTGAAAGCCGTAGCAAGACAAAGTGACAACARCACAAAAATCAACCAAAAAAATAAAAGCGCTAACTGCAGTGTGTATACTGACAAAGTGAGTTCTTCTACAAGTTCTATATCCGACTGCACTACGTCGCGAAATTCAAAAGCGAACTCTAAGCCGAAGGCGCATGTGAAATGTGTATCAACGAAACGCGTATCGGCCAACGGTGGTGTGTCGTCCGCCGATACAACACGCCTCTTTAATTTCCTACGTGCAGCGCGTAAATTTTATCGTAGTGCCGCGAATASTGATCTGGTAGATGGTACTCAAAATTCCGCTGATATAGTGGATTTTGGGTGTGCGCAACAGCAACAGTCCGAGCACCCTAAGCGTCGTTCTTCGTTGGCGGCCATAAACGATCGGCTGGAGATTGCAGATTATAATAAGTCATCAGCTGATGCTTTAAGCCAAATAACCGGGTCTTTAAATGATGATTGGTCTGGTTAGTATTATTAATTATTTCAATATRTTACTTTTTGCATAACAATCTATACGCTTGCATCTAAGTATGTGTTGGCTTTCAAGGATTATATCTCCAACCAACCGATATTATAAAGGTGGATGAAATCGGGTGATAACCCCGTCCACTTTCTATATAACGGTTCCGTTATAAACTACCAAAAACCGCAATAAATCAATAAATAAATACTCGAGAAGCTTTAAATTTAACACCTTGGATGATACAAGAGCACTTTATATTTCGGTAAAAAGTCATAACTCAAGACCTRTTTGAATAATATCGACCAAATTTTGGTGTATAAAGCTGCCTCGACAATCATATGTTCCAATGCGAAAACAAACTAAATCAGACAACAACCACGCCTACTTCCCATGTAACCCAATTKTAAATTCCATCTGATTCTCTTGCTTTACAGACTGCAAATCAAGCACCAGGAATGTATCGAGAATTTGCCCGAATACCAAAATCTGACCAAAATTATTCAAATCTCTATATAACGAATATGTGGATCAAAGTTCCATTCCATTTTTTTATCGATAATATCGCTCAATCTGTGAGATATATTATAGAAATTCGGAGAGAATTCCTTTTCTAATAATAATAATATACCCTTATGTTAAAAGTAGGCTGAATCGGATCAATAATTTTTTTAGTCCCCATATTAGAAAAATTTCCAGTTGACTTTATACCGCTGTCTCACTATAAGTCAACATTTTTTAAATGTTACAATTATTAGAATCGATCGACTTTTCATGTTTCTTTAAAATTAAAAAAAATTCAACACTTAACCGATAATGTGTTTTGGAACACAGCTAACTTTCTTTTCAAGACCTTAAAAGAAATTACCTCCTATCAGAAAAATCCACTAAAAATTACTTTTTATAAATACGTAATATCGAATGAGTTTTTCACGACTTGTATAGTCAAGTGTSGACAAATATACAACATGTGTTGAAAACAAAATGTAATTTCGATCTGAAGTCAATGATCCAGTATGATACTTTTTTCTTCAGAAATTCTTAATACCRGTTGTTTGGGAAAATTCCCGATTACCCTACACACTGCCTTATGGAGCTGAAATGTTTTCGTAATAGAATTTGTAGTATAACTCGCATAACAGTTAACATATAACTGTTTGTAGATAGTTACATTTTTATCTTATTTATACCAAACYAGTTTATTTATTTATACTCGTATGCGTATGTATGTTTGTCCTAAAAATGCAACGCAACTTCATGTCATTGAAATATGCATCGTAAAAAACGATGTTATGAAATGCCACCACACACGTCATTCATTCCATCATACTTCCCATCAGTGGTCTGACTATTAATTTTAATTTTGCCTCCAGGCAAATGGTTTCTACAACTGCAGCTAATTATTGTGCCATAGCACACACAAATACCATACCATAATTATTCATAAACAGAAAGCAGTTATTTTTGTCATTTGTAGGATCATTAAGAAAGTCGTTATAAAAATATTAATGTAAGAAAAAATTTATATTTTCTAAAAAAAAAACGTTTTTACAATTTTCTTGAACTTAAAATTCCGAAACATATAACATATGTTGTGCTGTCTAAAATCGAAAACAAAAAATCACTTCTATTCAAAATATATTTTATGTGAATAATATCCATATAAAACTATCATTACAAAAATTCTTTAGCACTAACAAAGTCACTGATTTGGCCTTTCCAAGAGTTTAAGGCATAACATATCCGTAATCTTAAAGTTTTGTAGCTAAAAAATTCAAAAAAGCATCTGTGTGATTTCAAAAGTGTCTTAATCTTAGTTTATAGTTTAACTTAAAGGCTTTATGACTATTAAGTTTTAAGATAAAATTTTTAGTTTTACGACTTCCCCCTCCATTACTCTCGTGAACTACATCTTCTTATATTAGCTTTAGACCTAAATAATCCTTTTATATTAGTTTTTGATAAAACATTGTTCAAAAAGTAAGTATCCATCCATTTCGGTGAGAGCATCTCTACCAACACTATAGAACATAACTGGTAGTCCGGCTATTTGCATTTGCAGATTCGAATCGTTATTTCATCTGTATCATAGTGCAGTATATCACTATTAGTTAAATTGACAATTGAGGWTCAAAACGTCAATAAAATAGAAGAATTGGTGCTAGAGWATCGACGATTAACAGTTAGAATTCTTACTGGCATCGTTGGAATAGCGGAAGGATCAGTGAAAATCATTTTGAAATATCATTTGGGCCTAAGAAAAGTGAAGCACGATTAATTCCGAAGTCGCCCAATTTTTTCGAAAAACAGCATCGCGTTAACGTCCGTTAAACAACGCTTTCCGACTACCAGAATGTCATGAAACGTATTATTAATAGCGATGAGTCTTTGATCTATGCTTACGATCCGGAAACAGATGATCAATCGGCCGAATATCGTGGCATAAGTGAGCCAAAACATGTCAAAAATCAGRGTTATGGACAGTTTTCTTCGATTATCGATGTGTAGTGCAGTCCGAATTACTTCCGACCGGCCAAACTGTCAACAAGGAATACTATTTGAGTGTCATGCGTCCTTTGTGAAAAGCTCTTTCAATAAGGAGGTCAGAATTATGGGCCGACCACTCTTCGGGAGTTTTTCAAGCAATACCGTGCGCAAGTCGCCTGATTTARCTCCGTGAGAYTTCTRCCTATTCAGCAAACTGAAACGACCGTTTGGGGGAAACCCTTTTGAATCAATTAAAGTCATTCAACGTGAAAAGCCACGCGCATTGAARGCTATTCCGGAAATTGACTTTAACAACTGTTTCGGCGATTAGAAAAAGCGTTGACTTCAGTGTATTGAGGCTAAGAGGGACTATTTTGAGAGTGAATTTTTAGATTTTGAAGAATAAATTAAGAGTTTTAAAATTATGAACAAAGTCTTACTATTTTTAGCTCATAGTAGTATACACGCACCTCTGTACTGCATAGATACAGCCAGTGAACTCCACCAACCAGAAGCTATTTTTGTAAAACCCATTTTTATATACCCCATATGTGTATATGTAATATTTATACAACTAGGTGATCTTTGCATCTTWTGTAGGTATTTATGCTTTTATTACTCACATGTGTGATAGTTTTTGCGTCAATTTAGTATCGTTTGACACACTCTTGCAATGAACAAAAGAGAAGAAACAACAAAGCAGCACACAAGTGGCAACAGTTGACTCGCATGCCACAATAATTGTCATATAAAATTGTACGCAATGCTAAACTTACATTTGTTTCTGTACGCACTCGTCACCACAAGCGGTACTAAGTATGTCTCGTTTGCAGTTCTATGCACATCTCCATGTGTGTGTGCATTTGCATTGTTTCATTATTATTTGCAGTTCATTGGCTTTGTTGGTTTGATGGCTTCATCARCGATATCATCGACATAGTTGTTGTTGGTTGTATTTACTGCAGATCTATTKCCGTATGGTAGTTACCATAAATATGTATAGTATTTACATATAGTATATACCCATACATGTTGCGGCTTGTATTTCTACAGTTGCTGTTGCAAGAGAAGCCAATCACCTCCCTGCTACTATTAAAATGACTTAGTTGTTTACCCAGTTATGACTAGTGACTTCTTCAATTACAACCGTCATATCGCATATCATTGCTCGAGATTTAGTAGTTTGTTTTATATTTGTTCATATGCATATATTAAGCGTTATGATTCTTTCTTTGATCTGTCGCTGATTTGGCTTGACTTAGTTGTGCAACAGTGCGAATCGTCAATTGTTATGTGTTATGTGCCACCTACTGACTACATTCCAATTCTGTTGTAATTATTATGTAAAAAATATAGTATATGTAGTATATAGTATGTTTAATACTGCAAAATGGTTGTTAAAAAGTTCCATATTTGATCTAAAGGGTATAGATCACAAACTAGTAATAGAGTACAACTTCTGCTTGGGAGAACGTTGGAATTAATGCCATGATATAAGGAAAACTTGTATTAATAGTTTTGGAGATATTTACAGAATTTTTATATAGAAATCCATAGTTTTTATTTATTTATTTTTTTTCAAAGTATCCTCAATAGATGACCGTTTCATTTGACCTATTTAGTCGTTTAAAAAAAATTTTGTAAGTACTATTCTACTTGAGTTCGAAACTCAAATTAATAAATATTTGTCTTCGTCATTCGATCAAAACTAACTTTTTTTCACCAAACTAAACTATTTTTTTGTGAATGAAGAAGTGGCACAATCGTTATATGTGTATATGTAGATTGGCATATTGCTCAATCATAGATGTTAATAAAATATGAACTATAATACTAGTTAATAGAATTTTCGAATATTATTTATAAATTTTCTTTTTACTGTCTTTTCTTTACAGGTAAGCAATTGAGGGAAATGTTAAATCTAAGAAAGTTACTAATTTATGATTATTGGTATGTATTAATATGAATTTCTCCTTTTTTACTGGCTAGACACCGCTTACGCGGTTATAACCGAGTTAACAACTTCAYGCCAGTCGTTCTTATTTTCGTAATGTGGTGAGAATTGGTTATTCCAAGCCAAGCCAGGCGCTTCTCCACCT